GAACTAAGTGCTACACTATTGTGGGAGCCACCTCTAGAATCCGTACGAGCCACTTCTTGAATCCGTACCTCTGTTCTGACTGTCACTTCCATGACCTCTGTTCTGTACCGTGGTTATGGTTATCTATTTATATAATATCTGTATTTCAGTTTCTGCTACTTAAATGATTTCTGCTACTCAAATGATTTGTTTATGTAAATGTTTTGACTACATAACTATCCATGGTTATTTCGTGTCCCTTATAGACTTGGTATAATATTTCTCACTCTGCCATGTGCTTATAGTTATTTACCAATTTTCAGGAAACCGTGCAATTCAGAAATAGCTTTTTGGAAAGTCAGGTTGCGGAATAGACACACACAGTATTTTTATGATATTATTTATATGTAAACATCGGCCTTTTTGGTCAATATATTTTGTAATAAAAATAGAAGCTCTAATGGTTATTTTGGTACCTTTATTTAAATAATTCTTCCGCTCGCGTTATTTGATTTGTTTAAGAATTGGCCGTAGGTAACCTCAGTTACTGGCTATCACGATGCTTAACCCTTAGATACGGGAGCGGGCCTTGACAGTTATAATTCGTTGTAGTGTTGGTTATAATGTATTTATGACTTACTATAATTATTATTTTGGTTTAACCAGAGAATTTAGTAGTTATATCTAAAGCAATATTTAATTATAATTTATTACCGTCATTATGACTGAAAGTGGTATTAAAATCATAAACAAATTGTCGTAAATTGCATGTGATACATCCAAAACAGGAGTGTGTATTGTAAAAGCTCTTTTTATTTGGTATGTTTGGTGCAACTTATTGTAAGTTAAAGTTGATAATAAAAAATTAAAAAAAAACCCCTCCTCCATATCCTAAATAGTCTTATTCTTTTTTCTTTTTTTTTTCTTTTTTCTCCAGTTTATTTAAACTATTTCTATTTTGTAATCTATAAATGGAAGGTTCACTAAACAATCTAACACATTTTTAAAATAATAAAAAAATTATAAACAATTCAAATAATTTGCACCAAACAATCCCATTACAGCATTGCTAAATTCCTGATGAGTATGACTAACAACTTTTTAACGTATGTTTATATATTTGGACAGGTAATTGATGAAATCATTGGCAAGCAGCAAAACCTTTTTCTGTTTAGGACACTTTCTGCTACCTTGGTGCAACTTAAGCTCAGGTATAACACTCTTACTTTAGGCTATCTTAAAAAATCATGAATATGTGAAGGGATTGTGAATTCAAATAAAAAGGAAATAGAAAAAATAAGAAGAAAATAAAGTAAAATAAGCTAAATTTATTTATTTCAATTTTTTTTCTTGACAAATATGTTATGTAAATTTAATCATTCCAATTATAAAAAAATAAAAATAAACAATCATACAGAACACAAGATATACATGATACGTTCTTAGTCCTCTCCCTTTATAAAGAACTCCTGACAATAAATCTAAACATATAGTAAAAAACAAAAGACACCTCACAACAAAATTCAAAATCAAAACATAATATTAAGATTTGAGTCCCTTTACTAAGAATTTACTAAAAAAAAACTAATCAAAAGTCACCTGTACATATTCATTCAATACAAGAAATTATTTGAATTTTTATTTTATTCATTAGTTTCTTCCTTCACAAATTGCTTCTCAATTTTAAAATCAAAAAGTTCCTATTAAAAACATTTTGAACTTTATTTTCTTAAATGATTAAATTCAAAATGCTTCATGCATCTTCTAATAATTTTTTTAATTGTCTATTTTATTTTATTTGACTCCATCAATATTTTGGTGTGCAGTTATACATTATTGAGTTCAAGTTGATGAGATTGGATATGATGGATTACCCTCCTTATGGCCAATGACAAAACTTATTGCTTCTTCCAATTAGTTAAAAAGCAAAAATAAATAATAAATAATAAATAATAAATAATAAATTGTTGTATGATTTCTAATTGTGTGTGTACTACTTCATTAGTGTGTTTATTGAAAAACTATTCAGTTACCTATAGTTGTATAAGTAATGACGTATATATATTTGAACATGTGAGGTCGTAATAAACTGAAATGTATTTTCATATTACTCTATCTTGATTCTTGGACGTGCTGATGATATAATTTGTATGATTTTAGATGTCAGGCATGCTAATTATGTGAGATATACACTCGCAGGGTTTTTTATTTTATTTAATTATTTTTATTAGAATTTTATAATCATAATTCTATTTAAAAAAGGATGTTCGGATCAAATTGCCAAAGATTCACGTTTATTTGTTAGGCCTATAAAGACAAATTGGGTGTTTGAGAAATTGTTATTTTAGTAGATTAAAATTTTTGTATTTAAAAAGATTATTAGATTTTTTTGTATTTAAATATGATATTTGTAAGAAAAAAAATAAAATGATTATAAATTTAATGTGATATTTTATCTTATTAATTATTTTAACCTATTTTATTTATTTTTTTTGTGAATTTCAACCTAAAAAATACTTTTTTTTTTTTTTTTTGCCAAACACCCCCAAACTATCTTACGATGACCAAAATACCTATCCAATTCCGCTCTCGCTTTTATTCATTTCTCTTTGCTGAAGAAATGAAAACCACCACCTTCACCCACCATTACTTCTCCCATGTTCTCTCTCTACACTTCTTTCTTTTCTCTCTCTTCTTTTTCATCTCTTCTGCTACTTCTCATTACGACTTCGCCGTCAATGGCGTCCTCACCGACGCCGGAGGTCTGTACATCAAGCAAAGACAGCTCTTGTACTACAGAGACGAGTTCGGAGACAGAGGCGAGTTTGTGACCGTTAATCCATCTCTGGTCTTCCCAAACCCTCGTCTCCGAACAGCCTACATTGCTTTCCAAGCTTGGAAAGAAGCCATATTCTCCGATCCCCAAAACCTCACAGCCGATTGGGTCGGATCTGGTGTTTGCAACTACACCGGAGTTTCTGGGCTCCGGCGCCGGACAACTCCTCGATCTTCACCGTTGCCGGCATCGATCCCAACCAAGGCGACATCGCCGGGTACCTCCCGGAGGAGCTCGGACTCCTCACAGATCTCGCATTGTTTCACATCAACTCGAATCGATTCTGCGGCACAGGCCCTCACAAGATCAAGAACTTGAAGCTTCTCTTCGAGCTCGATCTCAGCAACAACAGGTTCGCCGCAAAATTCCTTCGGGTGTTTCTAAAATTGCCGAGTCTGAAGTTCTTAGATTTGGCAGATGTCATCGAAGGAACTATCAAAGGAGATATCTTACATATTGTGGGGTATTTTGTTGTGAATTATGGTTTGAGAAAAAAACACAATTGTGGAAAATTTAGGCTCAGTTTGGCTATATGGACACAAAACTTTAGGCACAATTCAGATTAAAAGAACCAGTTTTAATAATTTATAACTATTTCCAATTCTTGTCAATTCTTACTTCGGAAAAAAGGCTTGTGAACCAAGTTCTCTCCTGGTTGTGATATGAAGCATTTTACATTCATTTGAGTATCAACATTTTTATTTTTTAATTACCAACCAGTGGGGGTGTACAGATAAATTTGGATAGAAAATTTGTACAGATAAAAATATTGAATAGATAAAAAATTGGGCAGGTAAAATTTGGACAAATAGAAAATTTGCACAGATAAAATTTGGATAGATGGAAAATTTACACAAAAAAAATTGAACAGATAAACAAAAAAAATTGAACAAATAGACTAAAAACAAAATTGAGCAGATAGACAAAAAATTTGAAAAAATAGATATGAATTTGAATAGATAGTCAACGATGTTTGGTTTGGTTTTGAGAGAGTAGTTTTTAAAAATTATTTTGGTGAGAGAATTTAGAAATTTTTTTGGTTTGTTTGGTTGTGTATTTTAAAAGTAGTTTTGAAGTTTGGGAGTTTGGAATGATTTGAAATTTTGTTGTAATTACGTAGTTGTGTGAGAGAGAAAAAGTGATTGAAAAGGAGAGAGAAGAGAAAAAGTGATTGATTGATGTGTAAGAGAAAGAAAGTGATTTTGGAAATTGTTTTGAAAAAATTACCAACCAAACAAGTTTTTTAAATTTTTTTTTCCAAAATCACTCTATAAATCCAAATCAAACATATCCAAAATGTCTTTTAAGACTTCTCACCAAATTATTTCAAAAAGTGTAGACCTATCACCAACAAACAAAAAAAAAATCACTGGATCTAATTAATAGAGTAATAACACATACTCTCTTGTTTTACCGGACATAGGTACAGAAGGTAAATGGTACACTTTTTTACGACAATAATAACATAATTCGTATTTTACTGGCCATAAGCACGGAAGGCAAATGGTACACCTTACTATAGACACTCAATTTTGACAAAAGATTTTGGCGCTTTCTTTTGATTATTCGATGATAAAAATAAAAATGTGTTTCTTACAACATCTATATAATAAGAGAGAAGGCTTTTTGAAAATGTATAAAATGTGTGTGAGATATATTTTGATTCAATGGCCAATATCAATCCTGATATATATCAATGGCTCAGATCTATATAGTTCCCGCCCAAACATTTCTCTCCCTCAGCCTTTCACCTACCCACGTCTCCTCCCCATTCCCTCTTCATGTCTCTGCCTCTCTGTTCTCACCTACTCTTTGCCCCATTCCCTCTTTATTTCTCTCTCCCTGTCTGTTCTTCTTCTTTCCTACCTTCCTTCTTCCGCTGCTCTCCAGTCTTCTGCCTCTCGAACTCGACTATGCTCTCCAGTCTCGCAAGGTAAGATTTCTGCCTCCCCCTTCTCTCTCTGTCTGTGTCTGTCTCTCCAGTCCTCGAACTCGCATTTTAGGCTATTTGATTGTAAGATTGATTGTTGTTTTAATATTATTTTGATTTTGTAATTAAATAGCCCAAAATGCTGTGATTTAGAATTTTTTACACAGCATTTGATTTTGACTTATTAGCATAGTTGAAGAGTGGACGGTGGTTGATTTTAATTTTATAATTAGGTTACCAATTATTTTGCGGAGTTTTTTGGTGGATCTGATGTGGAGGGAAGAGTGGACGTTTTGGGGAAAATGGGTCGAAGAATTCGAATGGAAATCAGACGATTCGGAAAGCGGCTCCAGTGGAAAACAAGTTGGTGTGTAGTTTGGAGGAGCTTTACAAGGGTTCTCGAAAGAATGTTAAGATTTCGAGAATTGTTCCTGATGATTCTGGGTATGCAATTCTACACCTTTACATATAATTAAGATTCTGGGTATGCAAGTTGGTGTTTAAATTTCTTGATTTGAGAAAGAATTTAGATGCTATGATTGATTGTTTGGAGTTACGAATTCTCTGTTGCCTTGAATTTCCAAGAATTTGCACGAAACGCATTGCCTCTTGCTTTATTTTAGGCTCTCTTTTCATTTTTCTGGATTACTGTAGATGAAATCCATAAAAAAATTGATTTTTTTTTTAATTGTTTTTGTTTCCTTTGGAATTCAAAATTTTGAATTCAAAAAATTTGTCTAAGATTGTATTTCAAGGATTGATTTTTTTTTTTCCCTTCTTCCTTTTTCGGGTTTCTTTTTCTTTCAAGAACCAATTTTTGCAAATGCATAGCATTCCTTTTTTTTCCAGATCACAAAACAGTTTACAAAAAAACAGGACTGAAAATTTCTTTGACTCTGTTCTAGAATCTGTTTTAGGAAAATTGAGTTTTAAAGAATCTGTTATCTGTTTTTTTGTTTTCCATTAAAGGGTTGATTTATATAGTTTGAGACTTGATTAAAGCCCACAAAAGGCTAGCCTATTCGGCATGGTCTTGAAAGCAGGGCAAAAGGCTTAAAATTTTGGTATTGTTCAATCTTTGGTGGTCAAGAATTACTCGGGAAAGACTATGGTGCATGCCCTTCAAAAAGTGTGGGCCGTTTGCACCTTATAATTAAAGAAAAAATTGGTGGTCAAAAATTTTGGTATTGTTGAATCTTTGGTGGTCAAGAATAACTCGCTCCGTGCTATCCCGGAGACGAAGAATGTGGATTTGATCTCGAAGAATGCCCAATTTGCTTTTTGGTTTGTGTTTCAATTCTTAAGCTATCAAATTATTTGCATTTGGCCCAATTTTCTGTCTGTGTTTCAATTCTGAAGTTGTCATTTTGTTTCCTTTTCAAATTATTTGCATTTGGGTTCTGTTTAGTTTATAGCAAATTGAGTAATCAAATTTTCTTTTTTGATTTGTGTTTCAATTCTGAAGTTGTCATTTTGTTTGCTTTTTCGAATTATTTTCATTTGGGTTCTGTTTAGTTTATAGCAAATTGAGTAAAGCAAAAGGAAATTTGCGGAAAGGAACGTAAAGTTCATTGGCTTGATGAGGCTAAATTACTGCACGTTACATGGGTTGGGTTCATTTGGAGTGAAAACAAGAAAAAAAAAGTATTAAGTTTTTAAAATTTCATTCGTGGTAGGTAATTGTTCAATGCATGACTGAAGTATGTGAGGTTCTAATTATATGTTTCAGTTCAAGGGGCTGATTTATCTAACCAACTACGAACCGAAACTATAGCAACCCTAAGTTTGCAATCTAATTTTGCATTTGGTTTTATTCTTGCTACTATTGAAGTTTCTAATTGTATACTTTTTTCTGTGTGGTTTGAAAACTTTCAGTATTATCCAAGTCTCAATCGCTCAAGATGTTGCACGAAAGGCATTTGTACAGATTCTTATTATTTATAACATTTGTCATTAATTATTGTAATTTTAATTTGGATACTTCTTTTTTTTTTTTTAATTTTTTTGTTTTCTCTTTGCAATAGAGTGTTTTCTGCAGATGAAGACCCTGAATTCGACTCGGCCTACTTAGTATCCTTGAGTCTATGATGTATGAACTATGTTTCTACATTTTTGGGTGATAATTTCAGCTACTATGTTTTGGAGAATCTCCGATTCTTTCTTCCAAATTCATGTTCTATACTTGCATTCTTTAACCATATGAGGTGTCCATTCTGTAAAACCATGAACTATGCGGTGGAGTATCGTGGGGTGAAAACAAAGGAGGAAAAGGGGATCGAGCAAATTGTAAGATTTTCTTTACTATAGTATCCTTTATTTAATTCTATTATTAAAGGGAATTTTTGAATATGTTCAGAATAGCAAATTTTCATTATGTGTGCTCTAATAGGAAGAACAAAGGGTTATAGAAGCAAAAATTAGGATGCGGCAACAGGAACTTTAGGATGAAGAACTGAGAATGCTGACAAGGCAAGAAATAAGTTCTTCAAGCAGATCAATGTTACCAGGAGAGGTTGGATATAGCACAGGGGAAGGTATTTTCATTGTCTGGGTTCAGTGTTATCTATATTCTTTGCTTTGGTTATTGTATACCTTATTTTTTTCCTTCTAATATTTTATGTTGTGCATTACTTTTATTTTTCCTGCAGTGGACGAGGAAATTGTTTCTTCTCAAATACCACTAAGACAATCTCTACGGCCTAGGCAGAACAGGTATTTATATATTTAATGTAGTTTTTTTTTATTGTTCCTTCCGTCTCCCCCCTCCAATTATATATCTGATGCTGCTCAAGATGTCTGAATTGTGCTTCTTCTATTTCACTTTTTATATGGCATGAAATTTCTTTTTGTGATTGTTATTTCCCATTTAAGTTTCTACTAAACATCCTTTATGTCTTTATGATGTCATTTTTTAATTCACATAATGACATTGTCTTATTTGTGGTTAGCCAAAATATATTTTAGTTAACATTGGTGTTTTCGGACGTCACTGTAAATATGACACATTTTACTCAGAATATATGAATGGGATGATATTGATCAACCTACAAGTATTTAACTTAACCCAAGTATTTAACATAATTAAATGAAAATTTTGAAAGACTTGGCATTTTAACATTTATGTGTAATGTGGCAAGAGAGTTCATTTTTTTTTTCCCACCTTTTTAAGGGAGTATAATATTCTAGGTTGTATTTCAAAAATTATGGTCAATGTATATGTGTGTATTACTTTAGTTGCTTCATGAAATAATTATTCATTATTGCTTATAAAATGGCTTTGTTATTTGGTGAATTTTTTTTGGCATAAATTTATGTTTGGACTTTCCAAGTCATAAATGGTGAACTTCAAAATATTTATGATTATAATGGGTTTTGATTTTGTTTTTAATTTCATCTCTATAAAATTGAAGTTAGTTACGAAAGAGAAAAGTTCAAATTTGGACAATTATTTTGCTCCGGTTTTAATTTATCATTTTAATGTGATTGTTAAAAAAATCTATTCTAAACGCTGGGTTGACTCAGAAAATGTGAGTTTGATTATGGGTTTCTCAAAGAATGTGTGTGGATGACCCGAATGAATGTGAATGTGATTATATACAAAATTTTATATATGATTATATATGATTCAGAGATTCAGAGACCGAATGATTCCAATATGTATGTATATATCTATATATATATGATTCCAAACACCCTGTATATATATGATTCCAAACCCTAAACCCCCTATTTATGTATGATTTCAGTATGTATATCTATACAATAAGGGAGAAAGGTTTTTGAATCTTGATAGGACTTTTGTCTGTGTCAAAATATGTACCATTAAATTGATTCAATCCAATGGTTGAAAATGTCTCACTTCTATTTGGACTTTTGTCCCTTTATCAAAATATAGACCATTAGATTCATTCAATCCAAAGGCTGAAAATTCAATCCAAAATGTAATGTAATCACCCTCTCCTTCTCTCCCTCACCCACACCCCTCTCATCTCTTTCTGATTTCAGAATTTGAACACACGTCTCTCTCTCTGTCTCTCCATGGGAGCAAATGTTTTCCTAAATAATTTTGGAGACAATGTTTCTGCAAGAGAATTGCAATAGAAAAAAATATTTTTTTTTTTTTTTTTTTTTTTTTTTTTTTTTTTTTTTTTTTTTTTTTTTAGCACCTTTTTAAAGGAATATAGTATTCTATGTTGTATTTCAAACATTTTTGGTGAATGTATATGTGTGTATTATTTAAGTTGTCTTCATGAAAAAGAAAATGTATTAAACTCACACAATATATTTTAGTTGTCTTTAAGAAGAAAAATATTTCAATATATTTTTTCAGTATCTTTATCAAAAAATGACACAAACTTCATAAATTTTAACATAATATGTATAAATTATAACTGCATTTTAATCTTAAAATTATTTATACCGTGCCTTTAGGCACGGGTATACGCTAGTCCTTACTAAGAAAGATGGAATTCAAGTCTTATCCTCGACCCTAAGCTTGTTTTCTCTTTCTAAACTTTCTTTTCGCGCTTTGTTCCGATCATTTCCATACTTTTCTGAGGCTTATTTTTTTAAATTTCAAAATAAAATGTTTTCTCAAGAAATTGAGCAAAGAATAGTGTGGAAATAAGAGGAAAGGATGATAATTCTGTCGAAAAATCTTATTTCGTGCAAAATAGTCAGGCCAAGGCTAATATTTTGGTCAGCCAGCCAAGAAATTGGCCGGTTGGCTAATTTGTTTAGGAACAGGATAGTTTCAGCAAAATTCTTGTTTAATGCGTGTGGAACATGCCACCTTAAATATTTCTGATACATTCATGCACAAGATGCATGTACACTCAGTCTTCATTGTCAAAAGCACTTGCCTCTTCAAAAAAGGAGTAGCTAAAGCAAGGGTCAAGTGCTTTATCCTTGTTACCTCATGGTCCGATGTAACGCCCTAAAAAAAAATACATAAAACTCATCATTCTTGACATGCAATAATATAAGAAAAATAAACATCTTTCTATTTATCAGAGTAGTTCTTACAAAAGTATTACATGTTAACAACAAAAGTAAACGCCCTATGCGCTTACAACTTTCCAAGCCAACATTTGGTTACAAGAAATGAGTACTAACTCATATACATATTAAGCCCTTGGCTTGAAATTTACATGTAATACATCGAAGGAAAACAAAACAACCAAAAAGTATGTCTGTATCTAGCCTCCCAAGCTATGTCCTTGGAGGTGGCATGTTACCTGTACCTGAAAATGATGTCTCATAAAGGGTGAGCCACAACCCAGTAGAAGTATACTAAACCAACTATAAACAATGACAAAAATAGCAGCATTCGATAGATGGTCTGCACTTATATTCCCACTTATAACACATCACAGTTTCATGACATTCAAGTCCATGTTACATTTCATTTCCCACTTCCTTTCAACTTTGAGTTTGAAAACAAGGTTCAGAACCTAGCCGAATAACTTAATGAGCTTATGACTCATCTTTAAAACACTTTTGAAATTCATGATGGATACACATTTTGGTGCTGTATCATTAACACATAAACCACTTCCATACTTCATGAGGGATACACATTTTGGTGCTGTATCAATATAACATAGAAAAAAACTTCTATACTTCACAATTGATAACGATATACATTTTAGTGCTATATCAAATCAATTCAAACACTTCCATAATCCACACTTGATACACATTGTAGTGCTGTATCAATGTCAAACAAAATCCGGTTTAGAGGTCCATCACCTATCTTCCCCTAAACCGTGGAGTACATCCCCTATCTCCTCCTACACACACAATGTATAAACACGTAGGTCATATGCATAATCAATCAATACATAAAGTTAATGTATTATTCCAACCGCTATATTTGATAGCATACTAACTCGATTAGTTTTAGTTTGCCTAATCATCATGCATTGTCTACAACAATCAAGACTATCCTCCACCGATAGCTCAAAGCAGTTATTTCTAAATAGAAAATAAATGCACCAAATGGATAAAATATCAACATTTCAACTAGGTGAGTGATAAATGATCCAACTACACCCTTTAATTCCATACATTCTCAATTTCAACATTTTCAATTCAATTTCTCATTTCTCAAAATTAATTCTTACAAATTAATTTATCAATGTATTTAGGCCATTTCCCATAATTAACAAAACAACCCTAAGGTTTCATTTCTATCAATGACCCAACATTTAACTCAATCCTCCATGCTAAACATGCATATAGGTTTATATAAGTAAAACCCCTTCTTTTGTAACATTACATAAAAGTCCAAACTTTCTCAAAATTACCCAACAACCCCCAATATATCGAAATGCTAAAATTTAAAGACAAAGCTCATAAAGAGGAGTAGGATATCCCTACCTCGAAGTTAGAGCTCAAACGGGAAAGTTGACGAAAACCAAAATGCCCCAACTACCAAGATTCACGGATCAAAACGAAGCTCTCGACGATCAACACACTTTTTACAAAGGCCGAAGGATAGAGGGACACTCTAACTAGATCAAACCTTAGAGAGAAGAGAGATCCTAGAGAGAGAGGCTCTCAAAATCGATTTTGGGAAAGTAAGAGAGAGAAAGGAAATGTAAAAAGTGATTTAAAGTTACCCAACGGATGACTCATATACGTATGACCTGCTCGAGCGTAGAATAGAACGCTCGAGCGTCAAGCACAAAAATCTGGAACCACTCGAGCGCAAGAAGGCCCGCTCGAGCTCCAAGAAACAAAAACAAAACACATCTGCTCGAGCGCGAAGAACCAATCCGCTCGAGCGTAGATTTTCATCTCCCATAACTTTTTCAGAAAAAGAACTACTCGCTCGAGCGCCAACAAGCCCGCTCGCGCGCGACCCGCTCGAGCGCAAGAAACCCGCTCGAGTGTAAAAAACACACCTGCAGAAGTTTTGCAGGGGCACGAAATACTGGAAGGGTGTAAACCACGCTCGAGCGCAAGAAGGCCCGCTCGAGCGGACAACCAAAAACCAAACTCCGCTCGAGCGTAGAATGATCCGCTCGAGCGTAACACCAAAAACCTAGGCAACTACACTTGGGACCAAAACTCAACCTACCTGTTCAGAACACGCCCAACACATCCTATAACTCAAATACAAAGTACAAAAGGATGTAAACAAGATATAAACAACTGCTAACATCCACGGAACCAAGTCCGGATCACTGTACAACAAGTCTCTCACAATCTTTTTGACTTAGCCTTCCACCATTGCCTATACAAAGATCATCAGACTGTTAGGAGAGGGGGGAGGATTTAAAAAAGAAGAGAGAGATAAAGAGAAAAAGAGAAGTCTAAGCTTTGAATTAAAGAGTCAGCCAAAACTTTCATTTTCCATATACAATGATATACCATCTTTCATATATCAAAACCATCTAAGAAATTCCATTATGTTCAAATTCTAGTAGCTTTGATCAAATGAAGAGTGATTGTTGTTGAAAGTGAGAAAATTACAGAGTTAAAAAATTCCCCCCCCCCTTCCCCCCATACACACTGTTAAACAACCCGAAAACACCATTCTAGCAAAAATTTAAGTTTTTGAATTGATGATTGAGAATATATTTCACAACCTTGAGAGTGATCAAAGGGAAATTTAGAAATTAAGCAGTTCATCATTTCCTTAGAAGATGAATTTTGCAAGCTGTCATTTTCTTGCATTTTCTATCTTATATTTGGTTTTCTTGCCTCAATTTCATATTATAAACTTGTTGTAATCTAACTGAAAGTGGTTATTTGAGCCACATACATATTCCCCATTTGTTTGTTTTTTTTTTTGTTTTTTTTGGTGTTGCAACAAAACAGAGGTTTTTTGCCAGGCCGACCAATTTATTAGCTGGACGGCTAATTAATTGGCTGGCTAGCTCACTTTAACTTCTTCTATGATAGAATAAAGCAGTCTTCTGATGATGAGTAGAACAGTTTCTAGAGATCTCCGAGGCATATGAAGTTAATGTTTTTCTTTTAATTTGAGAGAGTTGTGAGGTTTTCATTTGTTGTAATATTTTCTACCTTTCCCCCCTTATTCAGATATGTAATTATTCAAGTGTTGTAATAGTTTCCTGCCACGCTTCTTTTCTATCATGTTCTTTTACTTGCTTTTCTTATTCATAAATATGCAGTATATTTTGTTTTTCATCATATCCATACTCTGCATCCATGTTTCATGCATTAAGATTATGCCAAATTTGTATGTATTAGTTTAATAGATTATTATGTGATTTTCATGAGTGAGTTGCATTTCATGAGTGAATTGCATTCGAATTTTGTATATAAGATCATGCATGTTTTACTAACTTTGTTTTGTAACTATTTACGGGACGTTGGTAAATATGTAAGTTTTTATGCTTTAGCATCCTGCTTGTGTGTGTTTTGCTTACTATGTTTAGCATTATACCGTGAGGTTATTTGCTTATTTGGTATAACTCTATGCATATCGGTGGATGGAGATTGTGTCTCTTAATTTGGAATGATATTGATTTTCATGTTTATAAATTTCTTTAAGTTGTACATCGTCAAAACTCTTACAAAATACATGAAATCAAGTTGTTCCAAAATAAATGACACAGTCTATACTTGCTTGCATTACATAGTAAATTTTAAGATTTATTAAATAATCAGAATATGAACATATAAAGTGAATAAAAATTATATCATGGTTTAGTAGAGGTCGATTTTTTGATCGAGTGAGTGGGGGTTCTCAATTAATGAATTTCCCCTCATACCTAAGGTTCCGAACCAAGTAACCTTGGTTACGACGAATAGTGGCTTTAGCACGAGTCACGGGTTTCCTAATTTTTTCAAAATATTAGGTGGCGTCTCTCAGATCTGATAACGCAACCCATTTCTGGTAAAGGTTTTGCAATAAAATAGATTTTTTTATAAAAGTTGCCAAATCTAGACTCTCATCTATGCACTAGTGAAACTAGATCAAAGAAATCGAGGACCCGAGCTGTTTAGAGCGCTCGGGTACCCCCCGGGCATGTTACACCTATATAACAATATTAATTTACCAAGCGCTAGCTGGACGGTAGTAGTACCTCTGATTCGAAACGCCTAGTACCTCTGATTCGAAGCGCATCAACATCATCAACTCATCACAATTCCACATAAATTCCAAATTACACATTTATTCTATATGACATAACACGTGTATTCTATTCAACAACAATTAATACCATCCTCCACTAATAGCCAAAGGCAAAACCTCTAAGCAACGAACATCCAACTCTCATAATAAAATAATATAATCCTCATAAGGCATTAAACTTAACAACAATAATAACAACATTAACAATAACCATAACAATAAAAATAACAATAACAATAACAACATTTTACCCAAGGTATAAATCCTTTTTTTTTTTTCTCAACTTACCAAAAGAGTTTATGAACATCCTTTTTATTTCAAAACCAAACTCATGATCTCAAATCTATAGCATCCATAACCCTTTTCAAAAATCCCCTTTTAACTTATAAAAACCCCAACTTTATTGATCTACACTCATAACACAACAATTACACAACACAAATTAAATTTCACAACCCAAAACAAATAACAAAATCTAGGGCTTTCAAGAAAATCCTCAAACACAAGATTATCTAACCCAATATTTCCCAAAACAACAAACACATGAGATTCAACTCCACAACTCAAAAACCTAAACTCTCAAAACCTTGCTTTAGAAAATCTCAAGACATATCATGGGTTTTAATGCAACAAAAACTACCACTTATTTATCTTGTGAAAAGGCAAAGAAATCCCTACCTCTTGATAGGAAGAGGAGAAGGAAAGAAGAAACCCAAAAACTCAACTGCGATGAAAACACGATCTGCTTAGATAAATACGAAGCCCTCGATGTGCTCAACAATCTATCCCAAAGGAGTAAGGTGAGGGGATTACTCGATATGAGTAGATCTGAAGAAAATTAGAGCTTGAAGAGAGAGAAAATGGTGTTCACAGTAAAAAGGGAAAGAGAGAGAGAGAGAGAGAGAGAAAGAGAGAGAGTAAAATGAAAGGTGTTTTGAGGCCCTATTTATAGTACTAGGTTAAACATAATATCTAACCCAAAGTCAAACAAGAGAATAGTAAAAAGAAGGGTGTTTTGAGGCCCTATTTATAGTACTAGGTTAGACACAATATCTAACCCAAAGTCAAATAAGAGAATAACTCGAAAGATCCCCAAAAAGATGCCAAAACCACAGCCCAAACAGATTTGAAAATCTGCCAACTGTCAACACCTACAATAGGTGGTGTTGACACCACTAACCAGAGGTGAAATACCCCTACACAAAACTGACCATGTATGGACACCTAGAAGCCTTGGTGTCAACACTAGAAAGTAGTGCTGCAACATGCACAACCCAGGTCCAGCAGTGTCAACACCAAGAAGAGCTGGTGCCAACCCCTGAAGGCAAAAACCAGAGAGAAAAGAAAAGATAGGCAACTGTCGAAGCCCAGGAAGCAGAGGGTCGACACCTTGGGCAGAAATAAAAGGTTTCAAAGCACCAAACGAACAAAACAAGTGCATAAAACTACCCAATCAAGTTTAGACCAGATTTTAACAATCCAAACCTGTGATACACCAATTCTAAACAAAGTTTAACTCATAATTTACTCAACCAACAACCAAATACGCCTCTCAAAGGATCTACATGACAAGATGGAAAGAAATTAAATCTGTCACAAGGACCAAAGAAGCACAAGTGTTACAATCCATGTTAGCCAAGACTCAACATGGAGATTGGTGGCAAATTTAGCCATAGAAAAAGATATTTTCATAGATACATATCTTGAATGAATCACATAATACTTGCAAGCAATGTTTCACCACAAGATAAATACCCTTGTGAGTATGTGTAAAATTATTCTGTGAGTATTATGTGACCTATTGTGTGATTTGTTTTTGTATATATATAGTCATTCAAGATTGATTTGGCAATTGTTCTTTTAGTAGCTCCTTTACCTTTTTAGAAGAATGTTGTTGCTAAAAAAAATTAAGGCATTTGAATTGAGAATTAAATTTTTTTACGAAAGATAAAATAAAATTTGATATGACGTTTTTAGCAATTGTGAAATAGGGATTGTTCCTATTATTTTTTTTTTCTTTTGTCATCTAAATAAGATAAAATAAAACGATAAATTTTTTTAGCTTAAATAGCCAAAAACTGGCTTTTCTAGCAATAATATAAAAAAATCAATAAATTTAACTTTAGGTACTCAAAAATAAAATAGTTGGATCCAAATTCAACTATTATATAATTCTAATTACTTTGTCACAATACTTAAAAAATTATAACTAAAATTATAAGAGATTTCATTCAAGGAATTAAGGACCAATAGGTCTACTTTAAGGCTAAGTAACCAAGTCAAGCCATTGTAGAAAAACATCAGTCCATGTTAGAAAGTTCACAGCATTACGCACAGAGCTAATCTTGGCCCAAAGCGAGTAAGGTGGTCTGAATAAGGGCTACCGAATAATTTTAATTATTATGGTTAGTAGGTTTAAAAATAAAGATCTAAACAAAGTCATGTAACTTCACAATCTAAATTAAAGGATTTTAGAGTATCTCCAACTCTTCATTTCTTTCCTGATTTGATTATAGATTTGTGTAAAAAACTTGATTTGATATAAATTACTCAAACTCTTTCATGAAATTTTCGTGAAAATCTTTCTAAAGATTCTCTTCATATCTCAAGTTTTCCTTTTTATCAAATTTGAGGCTAAGTAACTAAAATTATAAGAGATTTCATTCAAAGAATCAAGGACCAATAGGTTTACTTTGAGGCTAAGTAACTATCACGACCCCATTCTGCCTCTAGTAGAATAATGCCATGATGGCCAGTAATCCGAGATTACCAAAAGCCAACTTACAAAGATTCACACAACGGAGTATACATATGGGGCTAACACGTGCGGAAGCATAAATTTAAATCCAAGTAGTTCATAAGAGTTGTGCATAGATCAAATGAAATGACATATATCTAAATCATGGTTTTACAACTTGAATACAAAAAAAAATGAAGTACATATTACATCTTGATCAAAAGGCTTCTCAAGCCGAAATGAACAAGAGACATGAACTACAAAGCTAAGAAGCATAATCTTCAAGATACTAGCAAAACATGAATCCAAACACAAGTTGCAAATAACATCTTAGGCGTCACCGCCTTCTTGCTCGTCACCTACATATATATAAAGGGGAGGATGAGCTTGGATACTCAGTGAATGATATAAGTAATAAAGGTTTGAATGAATGATATCCGAGATCTTTATCAAAACATTACATATCATAGCTAGTAACAAAACATGGCATGAACCAAGTTCATTAATCAAAATCTTTCAAAGCTTCTTGGATGTTTACTAACATCCACATAATACCAAGGGATGACATTCCGGACAAAACAAGGGAATAATCGTCCCGAAATCGAAAGCACACCCATTCATGACCGTCGGTGGCCGACCCGGAATCGATTAGACAAAACCAATCGTACAAGCCCGTGGGTGGTACCATCCGTACATGACCATCGATGGCACAAGAGATATCTCAAACAAGGGTGCTACATGTATTAACGTCCCCTAGCATAAAAGGACCTTCCAAAACAAAGATAATACTTGATACAAAAGCTAATGGATAATCATTCATACTTGATCAAATACTTTCCAAAACAAAGAAAAGCAAAGTTTTTATCAAAACATTGTAACATAGCTTTATTAAAAATACCACTCACAATAGCTCTTCGGATGTAGGGCTTAAGGCAAGAATCCAAGACCTACAATCATATAGCAAAGTCTACTGAATGCATTTCAAGAAGACAAGAAGGAATGCTCAAAGACGGGTATGAAATGCACTCTTAAAACAAGCTTTACATGAGTGAAAAAGATCTCGGCATTTCTTTCCAAAACCAAGTCAAGATAAAGCAAAACATGTGCTGGGAGTTAAATCACTGTTTTTCTTCTTGGAAAAGGATGCTGGGTTACCAACCAGGTCTTGGAATGGGTGCACAGAGATGATCTAGGCCAAAATGACCTAACTGGGTGAACTCAGGAGGTCTTGGCCGAGGTGTGGTCTCCTAAGCCTAGGTGTGCGGCT